TAAACTTTAACTAATTAAAACAATATTAATTTAATCCTTAACATTTTATATACTTGAATTTGTTGTTGTTAGGTGGCATCAGTTCAAGAACAATTCATAGCCACAACAACAGCTTTGAACTTTGTCCTATCCTGTGCCATCCTCACACTTCCTGACATACCAGAGCCCATTGCAGCAGTCATTCCAACTGGTTTCTCTCTTTTGCTGAACCTCCAATCCAGAAAACTCAAAATATAAGGCCATAATGACACCTATTTTTTTCAGAGATTAAAATCTAGATTAAGACCTAACTTCATCAGTACATAAGACAATATTTCTTTTATGTTCTCTCAATAGATTTTGTATCATGAGTAGTTTTCTAGATTGTTGACTTTAAACTTGTTAATACGAAGTTTCTATTAGAATATTTTTTTGAAGTTTACATTTAGGAAACAAAATGGATAAAATTAGTTGTTACATTTAATCTGAAAAAGCTACAGGGTTTTTGGTTTGTTTATTGTTGGTTTTTTTTTCCATTTAGTGGACTAAATTGCCATAATGTAATTTCTCCAATAATCCTCACACCAAGTGTTGTTAAATTAGAATAGATAAATTAATAATATTTATGATTATTTTGAATTTTAATAAACTTAGGTCCAGGATGAAACATATGCACATAAATTGGATTAATGACTCCATTTTATTAGCCATGCTGTCACTTCATAAATTTTAAGGAGTTTTAGTAAAACTAACATATCATGATATGCATCCTTTCACTGATAAAAGAGAAAATAAATCTGGATGATTTAATTTTAGTGCCAAAATAACTCTCCTGTACCTGCATTCTCACACCATAAAACATCACCTTAGAACCCACTCATGTTAATATTCACACTACTGGGATGAATGCCAAAAAATGATCTAAGAATAATGAGGCAATCACAAGAACTGTGAAGACTAATGATACTGTTACAAAATTACTTTTTTCTCCACAGTAAACACAAAATATGTATTCAACCATATTTTTCCTGCTCAGTTAATATTTAAAAGTACAATTAACTTTATTAAATAAAAAAGCAATAAAATGTTTATTAAATTGCAATGTTTACCTTACTGAATCAATCATCAAGGGCAAAGAGTATAAAGCATTAAAATTAAGAGATTATTTACTTTCTATTTCACTGTTATAAAAATCAATAGACTATTCCCATTGTGTGAAATAAGTGTGATGTTTTAATTGATAAATACTTATATTCTTTATATGATATTCATTTGGAATGGAACAGATTTTTAAAAACGCACATTCTATTTCAGTAATAGTAATGTCACAAGAGTAATTTTTCTGCATGTCACTAATACTTAGAGTGCTGAAATAATTTAAGGAAATATCTTAGCATATAAAAGCCATTAACCATAATTCTTTGCTTTTAAATTAATAATTATAATCTACTATGTGTATACTTAATATCTCTAATTTTTTAATAAACTAAATTTGCCAATTATCACCCATGATTTTACAGACACTGAAATTTGTATTTAAACAGTTTAACTAGCTTGTTCAAAGTTTCCAAAGTAGAAAAGAACTAGATGGTAAGTCTAAAACAGTATGACTTTAAAAATCATGTTCCTCTCTGCTACTTCAGTGCTCTCCTCCAGAATCACAATTAGATTGCCTTAAAATGTTTCATTCTTAACTGGCCCTCTATAGGAGTCTCAGATACATTAAATAGCTTAAGAGGAGATTGCTCATATTCCTCTGGCAGAGCTGCTGATGAATTCAAACCATGTGTCTTTGAGTTGTAGTGTAATTCCTTACTATTTGACTATCTGAGCTCCTTTCACTTGATTGAATGAAAGTATATTCTATGTTCTTACATAAGACTTGAGAGAAGTGAATTATGCTGCAAGTAAAGTTGCTTTAGTCGTTCAGGACTCTCCACAGGTAATGCCTGACCAGACTTAATTCCAAATGGCAATCTTCCACTCAAGTGGAGTATCACATCATAAATAGTTTTATTATATCTGGAAAAGTCATTCTGTCTGGAAACTCTTTTGGATGATGATGAGTAGAATTGCATTTTACACACATCCCTATTGGGGGGGAGAGGGAAATACCAAAAACTTTAACATTACAAATATTCTTAAAATTGCTTGATAAAAAAATACCCCAAGCTTGATGACTAAAAAATGGAATTTAAATTCAACTAAATAGAAAACCACAAAGAAAACTTTATTCAGCAACCATTTGTTAATTAAAAAATACAATTTTAATATTCCTAGAGCTTTCCAGTATCTTCTTTGAAACATACATCATTATCTAAGGTTGTAACTGTCAGGCCTGAAAAATCAGTTTGTTAATGGCAAGTGTAAGCACTTTGTGGAATCAGTGCAAATACAGTAATGCCTAATAGCTTCCAAGGCAGGTTTCAAACACTTAGAAAATATATATACTATGACAGATTCAGTTTAGTAGGAAACTGACTCATAGCTTATCCTTCAGAATGTTTTTCAGAAGTAGTAAATCATACAGGAGATTTCCCCCCCTTCTCCCATGGGACAAGTCCCATGGTGGACTCGAACTACATGTCTTTGGGGTTGGCAATGCAAATCCTTATGACCAAGCCACTAGGACTGGTATTTTATTTATAAAGAAATGATGCTGTCGAATGTTTCATTATTTTACCTTTTCTTATTTAGCAAATGAGAATACTGAAGTACATAATTTTCCAATGTTTGTCTAAATCATAGGAAATGAGGAAGAAATGAAAAATTATATACATACTAAAAAAGGAGTCCTGGTGGTAAAAAGTTGCATTTTCAATCTAAGGAAAAGTTATTCAAATTGACCAGCTTCTCCTCAGGAGAAAGATGTGCAAAATCTTCTAGTAATATTTCCTGCCTCTGACAACCCATGGGAAGCTCAGGTATGAGTTGTTTCTGACTTGATACAACGACAACAACAATACTAAGGAGTTTATATCTCCATCTTTTTGCTTTTCTTAACAGTTATCTAATTAATTATCTATTTAGAATAAATGATTTATTATTATATTTTGGTTGATATCTCCCCATGAGTAGATTATATTTTGTTATATGATACAAATTAAGTTACTTGGAGAAACATGCAACCATCACCTTCTTATAGACTCTGGAATGGAGAAAGAGTGAGGTCCTTGGGGCCAACCAAAGAGACTGAACCAGGTTTGTGCCGCATTCACGGTCTTCTGAAAGAAATCGTATGCTTTTGTTCCTTTTTCAGGAGAAAAGAACAGCTTATTGTTCTTTTCTTCTACACAATTCTTATCACGTATCAATATATCTTCTTCACTGTCCTTTCCTTTCACATATTCAGGTAATATTTTCATTTCTAAAATGCAAATATGTTTGTAAATGTGAGTTACTTGACCACAAAATAAAATACTCCGTTAGCTATTGTCATTTTTATATAGACAACAAAATTCTATTTTACTAATTATTCTAACTTCTCAAAGACTAAATCCTGAGTCAAATTTTATCTTAAAATAAAGCATTAATTTTTATGCTTAGAAATGCTAAGACAGATAAATTTCAATTAAATTAATTAATAACTTTAGACAATATGTGAAAGCAGTACACAAAATAGAAACTACCGTTCTGAAATACATATGCAAACTGCCTTGACAATTCTTGCTTTTATTAAACAATGTGATAGAGTCTCAAATAAAATATAGATAGAAATTATAAAGTGGTTTCTAATTAAAAATTGCTTTTGCCCCTAAATAAATTAAAGCATAAAGAAATAAATAGTAATATTTTTAGCAATACATATTTTTACAATAGTAAAACTACAAATATTTTTAGTGATAGCAATACATGGCAATTACATAGTAAACACAAGGTAAAATATAAAGCAATCTCACAAATGTTGAGTTAGTGTAACAACTGTTAATAATCTAAAAGTTAGATCACTTTCATCCCAAAAAAGATTTAAGTAAGTAAAGTTACACTGAAAAAAAATTCCAAACAACTCCTTGTGACATTTAAGATTATGATTCACTCAATGAAAAGAAAACATGGCAAAACTATTTATATTGAGAAAAGGAAGTGTACAAATAGGTAACTGAAAATAATATGGAACATACATATGTGCTCCCTCTTTTAAAGACAATTTTAGAAAGTAGGTAATGAGGAGAACAACTTTTAGGTCTGTGCTACATAAACTGTATAAAGAGGCCCTGAGGTCCCAGCAAACAATATGGCAGGATTATATAATAATTTAGGTAAATGATACTGCAGTATCTTTCACATAAGACATGAATTGCTCCTATTACTCTGTTTTGGCCAAACGATGTAATCAGCAAACGGAATCATATAGCCTACAGTAAAATTACCTTTGCCATAGGGTAAAATCCCCAAGATACTAACAGGATATGAACCAAGAATACTAGAGAACTGCTGCTATAGATTATTACAGAGCGTTAAAGACGACGAGTAACTATAGACTAAAGACAATTTCATTTTGCCATTGTTTTTTATGATTTTTTAGTCACTTTTAAAAGTAAAATTTTTTTAAAAAGATACATTACAGGGCTGCTTATGGAGTGGTTTTAGCAGGTGCACAACGTATTTGCCACTTACCAATAGAGAATTTTGACCCAGCAGGATCTTTAGACTTAACAGGATATGATGTCTTTTTAGTTAAACCAGGAGAACGAAATGGAAAATGAGTTGAAGACTCCGTCTCTACAAAAAAATATCTATTTAGTCAGTCATAAGCATTATAAAAATATTTTATCTTAATATACGTTAATATATATATGTATATTAAAAAAAGAAAAAGGCCTAAAAATCACCTAAAATGAAGTAATATGTCAAAGAAATAATATCACTTCATAGGGCTTTATTGAGCTTTACTTGCTAAGGCAATTACTATGGTATATTAAAATTATTGGAGAATGAACAATAAGCAAATTTGTCATAAACAAATAGTTAAAACATTTCAAAGGTTTTTACAAAATTAATTTCTTTGGCATTATTGTAAGTAGTGTTCAATATTTGATATAAGTTATGAGTCACCAACAAATTTCTTTATTTTTCATTTCAATGAACATCTACAGAGATTTTGGAATTCCATTCATT